GTGAACACACACAGTGAACACACACACACACACAGTGAACACACACAGTGAACACACACCCCTCCACAGGTGAGCTGTCCTACCTGCCAGGTTTGTTGGGGTTGGACACCTCAGGGGGCGGCGGGTTGGTGATGGGAGGGGGGCTAGCGGGCGCAGCCTCAGGGGCGTCCGACATGGTGGACGACAGGGACGCAGCAATGCACTGTGGGACGGCAGCGTCTGTCCTGAAGGTGAGAAAACGCAGCTCCCCAGGTGTGTGTGTGTGTGTGTGTGAGGGGGCTCAGGTGTGTGTTCAGTTCAGGTGCAGCAGGTGTTGATGCTTCAACTCGATGAATCCCCCGAAGAGACAACGTCCCATCGCACAACCTGCAACACAGAGACTGTAAGCCCCTCCCACTTCTGATGACATCATCCACCAGCTTTTATCAACAGTTGTAAGATTTATGACGACGTTAACGAAGAGTTTCTGAACGATCAGGAGCAGCAGCACAAAGGTGCAGAAGACCACTCTGAACAGCTGGACCGGTTCTGGCCGGGTGGGGGACAGACTGGGGGGCCACATTAATTAGGGCAATAATGGAAATAAAACAAGAACTGACGCAGTTTGTGGTCGAGTTTGTTTTGCAGCTGACGCAATTTATTTTTTGTTCAATTATTTATTTTTAGTTAACGACTTCACATAAATTCAAAAACCCTCAGAGGTTCTCAAACCGTGGGGCGTGGCCCCTGGGGGGGGGGGGTCACAGGTGATAACATGGGGTGTCACCACTTACTTTTCAGCACAGACTGGACTTTATTTTGTGGTTGTAAAATTGATGACAGTAAATAAAATGTTGTTTTAGTTAAATATGCACACGCGTGGCCGATTGATGAGCTGTGGAAAGTGCAGCATGTCCGCCGGTGGCTCCCAGAAACTTTACCAAGATTTAAACCTTAAAGTCAACGCTGGCATTCCTGCCGGGGGTTCTGGTTCCTACAGGCTGGTTCTGGTTCCTACAGGCTGGTTCTG